GAGAGAGAGAGAGAGAGAGAGAGAGAGAGAGAGAGAGAGAGAGAGAGAGGGAAACACTTATTCCAAGGAATTGACACCTGGGATTATAGAAACTGAAACATATACTATCTGCAAGGCACCCAGCTTACTGGAAATCTAGGGATGTGTCATTATTACAGCTCAAATCCAAGGGCATTCTATTGACAGAATTTACTTTTTTTCATAGAACCTCAGGCTCAGCTCCTTCAACAGTCTTTAACTGACTGAATAAGACCCACCTACAATATGAAGGATAATCTGCTTTTCATAAAATCTACTGAATGAAATATTAATCTACAAAATGCCTAAATCTAAATGGAGGCTTCAGGATTTTTGATCCTAGGATTACAGCCTGGAGGTATTCACTGGCTCAGTTCCTTTCTAGAAGGAGAGGGCACAGCTATAGGGCCTTCCTTTACTATGTGGGGAATTTGGCTACCATTATTTTATTATTATTTGAGAATTTCATACATGTACACGATATATTTTGATGATATCCACATCCCCCTCTTACTCCCCTCAGAGCTCCCTAACACGTCCACCTCCCAATTTCATGTCCCTTTTTAATTTTTGGTTTTGATAACCCACTGAGTCCAATCCAGAACCAATATGTGCATAGGTGTTGGGCCATCCACTAGAATATGGAGTCACACTTCCAAAGAAAAACGACCCTCCCTCTCCCAGTAACCATCAAGGTCAACTGCCAATGGCATCTCAGTTAGGGGCTGGGGCTTGTGAACCACTCCCTTATGCTGGAAATGCTGGAATGTTGACTGACTCGATCTTATATAGTGCTTCTGTAGATGCCTACGGCTACTGTGATCTCATGAGTGCAAGGACTGTGTCATGTCCCTAGGTCAGAATTTTACAGCTCTCCTCCCCATCTTCCAGCCCTTACATTCTTTCCATTCCCTCTCCTGTGATATTTCCTAAGCCTGGTATGGGGTGGGGGTGGGAGGAATGTTGATACAGATGTTTTATTTAAGGTTGAAGATTCATTGTCACTTGTTTTCAACACTGACCAGTTATGAGTCTCAGCATTAACTGGTGTCCACACAAAAAGAAGCCTCTCTGATCAAGGCTGAGAGCAACACAGATCTATGAGCACAAACATAAATAGTTAGAAGGTAGTTTTGCTAAGTGGCTTTTCATTATCATGTCAGTTATGCCAAGGAACTCTCCTGTTACACACAAAATGGAGGCCTGCTCAAGATCACATCACTGATGAGTGGGGCACCAGGAATCCGTGCAGGTCCTCTGCTTCCTAGTGACCTCAGCCACCATCAGTGATGGTACAGCCCATATAGACCTCAGATGCAGATTCAGGTGGCCCTGTTCCAGGCTGGTGCTACAAGGCACATCCCGGAGGATCCTATGCCTCTCATAGTTGATACATCTTTGCCTGCCCATGCCCAGCACAGTGAGTGGCCCCTAAGGTTCCCAGTGAATATCTGTTAGATAAATAAACTGCTCCATGTACTGACAATTATATCTATAAAAAATATTTTATTTTTATGAATAAATAAAGCCTAAATTTTAGGGGTATCTTTTGGCCACACAAATCACCTTTCTTGAAGGGAATGAACGTATATAGAAATTCCAAGGTCTCTGTGCCCATTTTAATTTTATGGTTTCTCAGCTGTGAAATGCTGGTCTGTGCATTTTGTAAAGCAGGGGTTGGTCCAGTGGCATCTGTGATAGCATCTAGATCTAAGGATCCTGAAGTCTTTTACTACCAGTTCAAAGCATTTTACCTAAAAAAATAATACCTTGCAACCTAGATCCAAGTTTAAGGAGCACAGCTGCCGTCCTGGCACTCAGGAGCAGTGGCAGGAGGATCACAAAGTAAAGGCTAGCTTGCTCAACCTAGTGAGGTCTTGCCTTAATAAAACTGAGGGCTGGGGTATAGTTCCATGAAGGGGTGTTTGCCTCTTGTGCATAAAGCCCCATGTTCCATCTCCAGGAATGAAAAAAAAAAAAAAGATTGAGAATTAATTAAATAAACTAGTAATCAAATGCTTTCACTAAAGACAGAGTTAAGGAGAAGTTTTCAAATATTTAGGCAATTTTTTACAATGAATAGGCCATCACCGTATATTTAAATACAACTATGTAGATATATCTGGCCTGTATATCATACATATAATGGCTGGAGTAGTCAGTGTGTCCCACAACCCATCTGCTAAATGCTTAGTTACCAGTTTGCCTCAATGTTGGAAAGTCGTGAAAACTTCGGAAGGTGTGATGGTCCTCTTGACTATCAACTTGATGAAGAGATTCAGAATCTTCATGGACCAAACTCTGGGCATGTCTGTGAGGAATTATCTGGATTAGGTTTGTGGAGATGGAAAGGACTATCCTAAGTGCGGCCTGTACCATTCATGGGCTGAGCCTAGGACTGAATAGATGGGAAAGTGACCTGAGCATAGGTATTCATTGCTGTTTCTTGACAGTGGAGGTCATGTGACCAGCTGCCAGGTATTCTGTCGCAGCAACAAGACAACTAATACAGAAGGTGACGCCCGCCCTGTGGAAGGAGGACAGGTGTTTGGCAGCATGTGCGTGAAGCGAATTTGGGGCCCTGCCTTCCTCCTCTTTGCTTCCTGGACACCGTGAGGTGAGCAGCTTTCCTCTGCATGTGCTTGCTGCCACCATGCCTTGCCTGCCTTGCCATCGCCCAAAACAGTGCAGCCAACCACAGACTGAAGCCTCAGAAGCCACAAGCCAAATTCAATCTTTCTTCATTTTGAATCGACTTTTATAAGGTATTTTTTCCTGGATGACAGAAAGTTGGCTAATGCAGTATGTGTGTGCTATGAATCTGGAAATAGTACTTAGAAATTGGAACACCCGAGAGAGGGCCACTGGAATTGGCTAAAATGTGCATGTTGAACCTGTGAAGTGGTAGGATTTACACCCTCCACACGTCCAGCAAAGCACAAGCTTTCTCATTCTAGACTCTCTTTCCTACTCTCCCTATAATTTATATGCCTTGAATGCTTGCCTTGCACTGTTACACAAGGACCTCAATTAGCAAACTAACTATAAAACCAGGATAAATGCAAGGGAAATCCCCACTGTTGTGGCCCATTCTTATATGTTGTTCTGCGTCTATCACATACAAAATTTCTAGATGTCACTTGCTTTTGATAAAAGCTTCAATTGTGTAAAACTGTGACCCTGTTAGGTGAATGCCATCACTCTTCTTTCAGGCCTAAGTCATCTGTAGTCAGTAATAATACTACTTATTTTTTTTCTCCTCAATAAAAATCAGATCATTTTCTGTGGGCCTCCAGCTCCCGCCTTTTGAAGGGTTGTGGAGTGGAGGAGAGAGGAATGAGGAAATGATAGATAGAAAGATAGAAAGAGAGAGACAGGATAGCTTCAGGAAGGCCCTGGGTCAATACCCAGTCACCCAGAGGTTTATTCAAAAGGGCTTTTTAAGCTGGGCGGTGGTGGTGCACGCCTTTAATCCCAGCACTCGGGAGGCAGAGGCAGGCGGATCTCTGTGAGTTCGAGGCCAGCCTGGTCTACAGAGTGAGTTCCAGGAAAGGCGCAAAGCTACACAGAGAAACCCTGTCTCGAAAAACTAAAAAAAAAAAAAAAAAAAAAGAAAAGGAAGAAAAAAGGGCTTTTTATAATATGCTAAGGGAAGAGGCAAAAGACCTCCCCCTTGCAAGATCAAGGCACACCATACAGCCAAGTGTAGACCCTTCCAAACACCTGTGGCCAAATCATTCCATTATGCAGCCCTGCTGGGTAAAACTAGCCCAGATTCTCTGACCCTGAGTAAGGTCTCACTAGGAAGCCTCTGTGGGGCACCACAATTTTCATTGCTATTTTTCTCTTTAATGACACAGCCAGAGAACCAGAGAGCCAGGAGATCATAAAGGACATGGCAGGCCAGCAGTGGACCTGGCACTTCATGTAATCTTTTGTTCTGTTTTGGTGCTGGGGACTGAACAAGGACATTTGCAGGCAGGGCACCTGTTCTCCCATTTACCTACATACTTACTGCTTAGCCTTTGTTTTTGAGACAGGGTCTTACTGTGCATCCTAGGTGGCTTCAAACTTAGCTCACTGTGCATCCCAAGCTGACTTGCCCAAGATCATACAGTAAGTAACGGAAAACTACTAGATTATGTCCTACCTTTGTGTAAACTTAGTAGCTATGACTTAATGCTACCATGGTGATTGTAAGTTTCTGGCATGAAGTTTGAGGGGAGTATAATTCAGTGAGAGAACTCACAAGTGTGAGATTCTGGCTTCTACCACTACTAGCTACCGAGCGAAATAAATACAAAATAAAATGAATTTGAGAATATTCATGAAGGACACATGTGGCCTAATTTGGTAATGTTTATTAATGGTTCATCTCATTGTAAGGCAACTGAAGCAATCAATAAAAGGTCTCAAACCGATGTTGTTAAATTAGTTGTTAAATTAACCGATTAGTTAAATTAGAAATCAGGGTTTCCATGATGGAATACAGACCATGTGGCCAGGCTGGCCTCAAACTTCTGTGATCTCCTGCCTCAGCATTTGAATAGCAACTTGTAACAGGTAAGAAACTACAATCTTTAAGCAAAACATAAATAATAATTGTTTTGTGATTTTTTTCATCCTTTCTATTCTTTTTAGCTTGCTTTTTCCCAGTCTGTCATACTTGACCAGCATTTCTGGAGCCTGGAGCCTGCTGTCCAGCGGCTGATGATTCTATTACCACTCTAATGGGAGGAACACAAGATATTTCCCAGAAGATGTGAGAGTTCTGAATGAACAGTTATGTCACAAAGCAAAATTATCTACCACTTCCTCTTTTAGGGAAGCTTAAATTCCCATTAAGAGTAAAACTGGAGCTGAGGATGGTGGCACACTCCTATAACATGGGAGGAATACCACAAGTTCCAGGCCAGTTAGGGTTACACAGCAAGGCCCCATCTCAAGAGCAAATCAAACAACTGCAAAACAAAACAATAAAAATTAAGAGTCAGGAACCAAACATATGTCAAGAGTGTGAGTGTGAGGAGAGAATGAATGAATGAAAGTCAATAGGGGAGGGTGGGAGTGTGAGGAGAGAATGAATGAATGAAAATCAATAGGGGAGGGTGGGAGTGTGAGGAGAGAATG